GAGAGAGAGAGAGAGAGAGAGAGAGAGAGAGAGAGAGAGAGAAGAGAGAGGGAAATACTAAAATACTAAAAGGTAGACAAATTAAAAGCAAGTTTCCTTCCTTTTCAAGGTCCTTTCTCCATCCCAGAGGCAACTCCCACTATTCTCTTGTGAGCCTTCATGAGGCTTTAATCATACAAGAATATAAAAATCATACAAGAATACACACACACACACACACACACACACACACACACACACACACGGTGCACGTTACCACCAACACACTCAATTGTTTCCATATAAGTAAAAGAATGCTAATCTTTAGTTTGTTCTTTCTTCATATTTTTTTCATGTGTGGGTGTGGGGGGGGAGGCAGGGTTGTTTCAGGATATTTGATCACACTATAAACCTCAATATTATGATAATTAAATAAAATCAACATTGGGTCAAGAGCCAGAGCCAGCAACTAGTTGACAGGAAACATCCATAGAGTCAGGAAAATGGATAGAGAAATGCACAGGAAGTAGTAGGGAGGGTGTGGTGATATATTGTTTGTAATCTCGGAAATAAAGCTTGCCTGAAGATCAGAGGACAGAGCCAGCCACAGAGTTAGTCATAGAGGTCAGGCGGTGGTGGCACACACCTTTAATCCCAGCTGGGCAGAGAAAGGAATATAAGGCAGGAGGAGACAGGAACATGTGCTTTTTCAGGCTGAGAAGTTGGTGGGTAAGAGGTGGTGGCTGCGGCTTGCTCTGCTTCTCTGATCTTTCAGCTTGATTCACCCTGATATCTGGCTCCAGTTTTTTATTAAGACCATTTAGGATTTGTGCAACTTTTGGCAGCTTTTTCAGTTTGAGATGGTGGAAGAGAAGCTCTCTTTCTGGGATGCTGGCTAAGGAGGAAGGTCAGCTGGTTGCTCCTCATCCTCTCTGAGCTAGCAGGTTTTCACCCCAGCCTCTGACTCCCAAGTCTTTATTGGCCAAACCATAAGACTGGGATGTAATTTAAAAACAACTCAGGGTCACATGTACCCCAGGCTGCCCTCAGACTATGTAGTCAAGGGTGGACTTGAACTTCTGAGCTTCCTGCATCTACTTCTCAAGGGCTGAGTTTTCAGGCGTGCATACAGCACCGCACCCAGTTTTATGGGCTTCATATGTGCCAGGCAAGCACTCCACCTATTGGACTACCCTCTAGCCCTCAGATAACTTTTGAAATAAAGACTGTCGAAGCTTTCCTGCTGGCAGGTGCATAGTTCATCCACCCTGAGAGTGAAGAGGCTGAAGAAAAACATCTTCAGATTCCACCGCAGCCAAGGGTGAGAACAAGACGAGAAGTGTCCTGGGATAGTACTATAGCACCAAGTGTTTCCTGGGGAACATGCCTTCCCAGTACCCCAGCAGAGAGCCCCCCAAAACCCAAGAGTTAGAGAAAGGCCACACCCTACATTTCAAGTAGCTGAGGATCTCTGACACCTTACCTAGACTGCAAACACACACACACACACACACACACACACACACACACCACTCTGCTAGAGAGAGGGGAGATCTGGTTCTAGTCCACTTCAGCCCCATTCCAGGCAATACCCTAAGCAATCTATTTTCTTCTCTGAACTGACACGGGGGGGGGGGGGGGGGGCACGACACTCCAAACCAATGGATCTGAGACTTTTTAAAAACACTCCTGAGTCCAATTGCTGCCACTGAGAGACACTGCTGACCTCATGATATGCACAGATCTGTACGAGGCTCCTTGTCTTCCAAGTCCACAGGCTAGTTCTCTGGAATCCAAGGCAAGGCCTAGGGTCTGCGTGACTTCTCTGGGCCCCTCCAGAACTATCAGCATGCCGGGAGACTTGACATTTAGTCTACTTTCCATAAGGCTAACACAGTGTGAGGGAAATAGAATCACTCAGGCAACCGGTACACAGTGTAGGCAGAATCCAAGGCTCAGCTCAAGACTAGGACAATCTCGGACCAGCAGGGGCTGCTCTTTCCCTTGACAAGGTTTCCTGCAGTGGCCTGGTACAGAAATAACACTGAGAATTCTTACTACGAATGGCCTTGTCAGGGATCTGAGTCAGCCAGTGTGTCGTAGGTGGGCCTGTACACTAGGCACTGTTCTAAATGCTCCCCAGTACTACCCACTGTAATCCTCCCGACGGCCTTTGACCCAGGCCCTGCTATCTACTCCCATGGATCAGAAAGCTGAGTCATGGAGAGGCTGAGAGAGGGTGTGTGCCTACGGACCCACAAGCTCTCACGGGCAGGGCTGAAATTCAAATCTAAGTGGCCTCTTCCAGTCTGGAAGGATGCAGGACCCCACAAGAGGGAGCCATAATGTGAGACGGAACACAGTCTGTGCTGGAACACAGCAGACACTTGGCAAATGTCTCCCTAGTGCTCTGGGCTCTCAAAGGCAGCAGAAGAGAAGCCACAGGGCCCTAGTATCTGAGTCAGTATACATGGGTCTAACTTGATTGGCATACCAATTTACCATGAGACTCCGCCCCTAGGTCTTACGTTTGTTCCCCAGAGCAGAAGTCAATGCTCATGGAGGGCCTTTCCAGGATCTAAGAGCCCTCTCAGCGCTGACAGGCTTTAACACCCCCCACAGCTGAGTCTCAGCAACCCCCGAAGTGGCAGCTCCAAAGGAAGGGAGGAACCCCGTGCATCCGCACAAAGCTGACCATGTACCTAGGCTTTGATGTCCTCAGCCAGAGTCCAGGACAAGTGTCCTCGGTAACTTGGGGGGCCCAGACCCTTGAAAGGCCAGTCAGAGGCAGTATCTACTGCCCACATTTCCACACACCCTCTACACACACTCATACAGAAAGCTTTTAACTTGCACTCAGTGTGAAAACTGGCCCGATCTCTTGGAAGCATCATCTACAAGGATCTATTGGAAATGGAAAACCATGTATCCACGGACCCAGAATTTGCATTTCTGGAACTTATCTACCTACACGCGGCAACCAATGACTATAATACTGTGTGTGCCGATGGAGCGGTCAGCAACGGATGTCCATCAGCAGGGGGACGGTTAAACGATGGCACATCCTTGCCTGGAATACTACACAGCCAACAAGGGGGAGGCAAGACTCCACACACTCATCTGAAGGGTTTCCGGGACACACTGCTCTGAGGAAGCAAGGTACAGAACAGTCTATCATCACGCAGGCTCTGTTGGTTTTGTAGTTTGAAAAAAAAAAAAAAAGGTGAAGAGGAAAGTCATGTCACAGATCAGTAACCATGGTTACCTCTGGGGAAGGAAAAGGCAATTGTGGGGGTGCTAGGAAGGTTTTGCTTTTAACTGTCCACGTTTCTGTTTCCTGCTCGGGCTTTTATCCTGTGTGTGCCATCTTCGTGAAAATGTTTGTGTGAGATTTCAAGGCTTAAAACAGAAATAGAACCAAGTCCAACGCCACTGTCCAGGCAGGAAGGGTAAAGGCCCAGCGCGGCCCTGCACCCGAGGCTCTCTGCAGAAACCATGTCCATCCTGGTGCTCAGGGACCCTGACTGAGCCGGAACTGACAGCTCCAGCCCTCACCAGTCTACAATCTGATACCAGCCCCAGGCCACAGTCCTCACCAGTGAAAGCTCATCATCCACTTCAGACACTGGGGACAGAAGCCTCTCCAGGGCGGGGCTGGGGGGCTCCGACAAAGGGGCAGGTGAAGCCGAGACACAGGATGGTGTGTCTCCTTCATCCAGGCCCGGGAAGGCAGCCAGCCCCACGTCGTCTTCGGGGATGTCATCCAGGGTCTTGGTGAGCGCAGCCAAGAGCGCTTCATTTTCACTGTCGATCTGGACGGAGGAGAGAAAATGGGGAGGGGAGAGGGTTAGTCACTGTGGGAGACCCAGCAGTCTGCAGGAAGGCGACTGATTGCCTACCCCGATGAACCACCACTACCTTCTCACCATCTCCATGCCGGCCCCTTAACCTGACAAATCTGTTCCATACTCCTGGAATAGCACATGGTCAATAAACAATCAACTTCAAGAACCATAGAATTTGATAAGCACGCTATGAGAAGGGCCTCGCCTGGAGTCCCAGTCCTGACTCCGCTGCTCATTGAGCTGTGACCTGGGCAGAAGGCAGCCTTCTTGAAAACACCCGCTTCTTCTATCAGAGTCTCAAGCTCCTCTCCATCATTGGTGGCAGGGTCCCAGCCCCTTGAACCTTGAGGCCCAGACAGGGTAGAGACTGGATACCCCAGAGCTCAACTGTGGCAGTCATAACTAGAAGCGTGGAAACCAGCTTGGACTCTTGATGGGATCCTGGGGCTTGTGCTCACTCAGGGAGAGGCAGTGGGTGCCGGTCTTTGGAGCTGCCGACTCACAGAGACCACATTTCCTCCCGTTATTCCTCACCTGCCAGATGGATACCAGACAGGACTTACTCCAGAGAGTTCCTGTTGAGGATGGGGTTGGGGTGGGGGGCGGATGCAGGTGAGGTGCTTAGAAAGCAGTGCCCGACCCAGAGCAAGCACCGATTCCTTGCTATGCTATACTCGCTAAGTGTACCGCTATCATTTCAGCGACAGGGACGGAAGCCAGCCGCCACCTCACTTCCTGTCTTCCCTGCCCCCCCCATCACATGCTGTACCGCATCCGGCTTTGTGTTGGACGTTGGACGTAGTCATCAGCACACCAAGACCACCATGCCCCTGCCCTCCTAGAGCTTGGCTTTTGATGAACGGAGCGAGATAAGAGAACAAGGGAATACATTTTAGAGCTGGAGAGAGGCTGGAGGAAGCCAGGGGAGGCTGGCTGTAGCAAAGAACAAGACAAAAACAAACCAAAAAAAAAAAACCCAAAACAAAAACAAACAACAACAAAACCCAAGAAGATGGCAGGCTGCCTCGAGTGGCCAGGAACCTTCTCTGAGCAGCTGACACTTAAACTTTAGTAGGTGAGCCAAAGGCGGACAAAACAAGGCTCAGGCTAAGGGGAGACCCAGGGTGAAGGCCCAGGCATGAGATGGACCAGAAAACTCTGTCATTAGCACCTAGGAGCTCACACAATACCCCTGTGAGGCGGCGGGGGTGGGGGGGGTGGAGGGGTGGGGGGTTGCTTCTAATCTCCATTTTACAGCAAGCATCAGGCAGATTCAGAGCCTGAGCACAAATGGACTGGCGTCTCATCTTCCCGGCTGTCTGCAACCCCTGAGGGGCCTAGCCCCAGGTCCTAGGCTTGAGGCTGAGGACACAGGCCACACTGCTTCTAGATCAGGCCAAGCGTCCCAGTCAGAAGCCCCGGTTCCCGGGGCCTGTGCTGGCAGAAGCACACGCTGTCACATGCTCCCTTCCGAGGCAAGCTTTCCCATCCCGGGTCCAGCTGCTCTTCCTTTCTTCAGGAAGTTCCTCTGAAACACACATCTCGTGATGGCCTTTTGGCTGCACTAAATCTGTTCCAGGCTGTAACCTCACAGTCAGAGCTTCAGCTGAGTAACTCAAACGGGGACTCAGGGAGAGGAGAATAAACGTGTTCGTCATTTTTAGAACAGAACTAAGAATAAAAAAAAAAAGAGTCAAAAGAAGTTGTTAGCGGGTCTGAGCCAGGGCTCTGTGGACTCTGGATCTAGAAAGCTATGAGGAGGACTCGAGTGGCTGCCCCCACCTGCAACACCCCCCCTCCCCGCCCCCCCCCCCAATCCTCAGACAAAACTCCCTATGCTCGATTCCCAGAATACCTTGCTAGCGTGATGGGGAATTAAGAACCTGGAACTTGGGACCCAGTGATACGATTTGGGGGATGACCACACGGAGCTCTGCCACCAGGATGGCCCTGAACAAGGTGAGTCCCTCCACTGAACCTGCACGCGTGAGGGACATAACCCCCAACACCTCTCCTAGCTCCAAGCCTGGGGCGTGGGAAGCAGCAAAATTTCTGAGTGAAGGAACCAGATGAGGAGCAACAGGGAGGAGACTGGCTGACTTCAGTTTCCCAGGTTCTAGAGAAGCCGCTCAGGATGACGTTACGTCATCAGTGCTGGGTGGAATGAGAATTCCCAGGGTGCCATAAATTATCAGACGTAACACAAACGGAAGGGCTTTTGGGGATCACCCAGCGGCCGGGGGTGTCAAACAAGTGGTGTGTGTGTGTGTGTGTGTGTGTGTGTGTGTGTGTGTGTGTGTGTGTGTTCCAGCTCATCTGCGCCATGGATGACGTCATGCCAGAGTCCTGGTGACCCAGGAGGGCTCTAGGCAACAACCTCAACCGGTCACAGCTGGCGCTCCTTGGGAAGGTGGGCTGAAGCCCCAGAACAAAGACCTGCCAGAGCTACACAGCCAACCAGGGCAGGGCCGAGGATGAGAGACCCCTAACTTGTAGAGCATAGGCATGGGGTGGAGATGAACACAAAATGGCAGAGACCATGATGAGGCTGGGTGTGAGCCACAGTGACGAACAAAAGACCTGTTTCTCGGCCCCTCTTCCTGAGCTGCCTAGCACAGGAATGGCTGGGTGGGGTTACCCACCTTATCCACACTGCCCTGGCTCCTTCCAGGCCTCCTGGCTGCCCTGTAGGCGCCTTTAGATATCACTGGAGCTGGCCACCTCATCCTGCCTGGGCCCATTAGCTTGCTCCCCCTGCTCGGCTTAGAAACGGAGCGAAAATTAATGGAGAGTTAATCAGCTGAGAAGGGATATTAATAGACTTGCCCCGCCCCCAACCTTCCCCGGCTCATCTCCGGCTGGAGGAAAAGGAGTCTGGGAGAAGCCTTAGTGAAATACTCCATTTGGGGACTGGAGTGGCATGAAGGAATGGTACAGAGCCAGAAGAATACACAGAGAAAGTCACTCACAGCCCAACATGCCCTTCTTCTAAGAGGGTCCATGAATTCCCAGCATCTCTAAGGACTGGTGACTTCCTCTATCCTTAACACACCAAGAAACTGTGATACAGTCCGTGTTCCTTCTTCATTCCTCACACGGGGAAGCTGAGGCCCCAAAAAGGGAGCTTGCCAAGGCCATATTGCATGAAGTAGCCAAACATCTGCTTGCTCTAGAGCATTCACTAAGTGCCTGTCATACCCTGGCCCCAAGACTTTGAGACATACAGAAAATGGGGAGCAATGCCCATGTCCCCAAATCTTGCCAACCCTTAGAAGCATAGCTTGCCCCCCCCTCCTTTCTCTTAGTTTGTTCCCGTAGCAATGGTGCCATTAGATTGTCAGAACAGGACACTGACACTGTATCATTCTCCAGAGTGCTCCCTCTGCCGCCGTCCTCCCCTCCCCCAGTGGGAGGAAACTGTCTAAGTTAATGGCAGAAAGAGGATCAGAACCAGTGGACCCTGTGGTCTCAGTCTCAGCTCAAGGTTTTGGAAGAGGTCAAAACACCTACTAACTGAACCCTTACCATGGGCAAAGGCTTCAGAAATGAGTCAACCATTCAGGGAGAGCATAGACAGAAGATGTCCATGGGCAGAAGTGACCAAATGCCTCAGGAGGCGTGACCCATGGCTCTGTTTGTGTGATTTGGTAGGGCTGGACACAAGGCTAGACACAGACAGGGTGGAGTCCTGGGGTACAATACGCAAACTGAGGACCCAGCCCCAGAGTCGATGAAGGGGCGGAGGGATGCCAGGCAGATCCTGATGGCCACAGACTGCAGTCACCCCATCACCCAGACAGCAGGCTCAGGTGCGGCATACAATGGCCTGGTCTGGGGGAGTGGCCGTGAGCAGGAGAGGTACTGGCTGGCGTAAGAGCTCCGCCCACCATGAAGGCTGGCTGCTCACTGGGCTGGGAGCCTCAGCAGGCTCCTTCAGCTGGGAGCCCATTTCACCCATGATATGACTTCTCCGGAGGCCTGCTGAGGCTCTGGCGAGGAAGAGCAGGTTCGGGCCCGTGCAGTCTCCCGGGGATGGTCTCCAGCAGCACCCTGACCCCACTTGAACATTAGTTCTCTGCAATCTGAAAGCCGTTTTGAAAAACTGTCCCCGAAGAGAGAGGGAGCAATACTGTTTTGGCACTGTGTCTAAGCTTTTTTTTTGGGCGGGGGGGGGGGGGGCAGTGTTTCGAGACAGGGTTTCTCTGTGTAGCTTTGGAGCCTGTCCTGGATCTCACTCTGTAGATCAGGCTGGCCTCGAACTCACAGAGACCCGCCTGCTTCTGCCTCCCCGAGTGCTGGGATTAAAGGCGTGCGCCACCACTGCCCGGCTTGGTTTTGGTTTTTTAAACTTATTTAATGGAGAGGGCTAGTGAGACAGTTGGTAAAGCATTTGCCTTGTGAGCAAGAGGACCAAGTTCAAGGCTCAGAACCCATGTCCCAAACAAACAAACAACAAAACAAGAGTGGCAGCATACACTTGTTATTCCAGGGTCAGGGAAGTGGAAACAGGTGAACTCTGGACCAGTGACAGAATCTGTCTCAAAAAGCAAGATGAGCCTTTAAAATGCCAGCACTCAGAAGGCAGAGGCAGATAAATCTCTGCCAGGAATACATACATGGTGAGACCCTGTCTCAAAAACAAACACAGACAAAAGGCAAGGTATATGGTACCTGAGGAATGACACAGAGGTTGTCCTCTGGCCTCCGCGCGCGCGCGCACACACACACACACACACACAGAGACAGACAGAGAGACAGAGACAGACAGACGGACAGACAGAGAGACAGACAGAGAAGCACAGAGAGAGAGAGAGAGAAATACAGAGACAGAGACAAAGACAGAGAGCTCCTGGATGGAGCCAGACAGGGCCAGAGCCCAGCTCTCACAGGATTGGCAAAGGGGTTCCACATAGTAGCGCATGCTATGGGCTCCTAAGTTAGGACCTTTGCCCTGATCCTTCCCAGCTGTGTGACCTGGAGTCAGTCGTCCCAGCTCTCCGAGCTCTGTCTTCCTCACCTATAAAATGAGTGACTAATACTATGCAATTTAGAGGCTAGAATAGTTCCAAGGAAAACCCATACTGTGCACAAGACTCTGTGGTGAGATCCCAACTACCTATACATCCCCCCCAGCACTGCCAGCTCCCAGCGGCTGCTCGAGGGCCACTGTTCCTGCCCTTCCACTTCCCCTGGCTAACCAGAGGCCTCTCCCTGACACCAGCCTCCAGCCCTGTGCCCTGTGCCCTGGTAGTCCCTGCCGCTGGCTTATGTGTGTGCTAATCTAGGGACGACTCCCCCTCCAGACTTTGAGTCTACTGAAGACCTCAGCTCCTGACACACAGGGAGCTTGTCAGGCTGCTCTGGAAGGACAGATGACAAGTTCCGTCTCCAGGACTATCCGAGATGCGCGATGACATACAAGCCCCACGTGGGCATGGCACAGTGCTACCTGGCCACCACAGAGGCACACTGAGCCTAGGCACCTGCCTCCATGGGAAAGATGATCTTGGAAAAAGATCAGTAAATCTGCAGGCTCCATCACCCAGCCTCAACATGGCAAGTCTTTTTTCATCTGTGGCGATTCATGCGGGGCACCCCCTGCCCCAACACACACAAGCAAATATCTGTAGAACTTTCTTTATTCTGAAGACATCTTATAGCAGACATCTCATGCTATTAGTCTATTTGAAGAGGCCTTCTTAAAGGGACCGCTAGTCATCATGTGTAACACAAATCTTAAAAGGTCTGATAATAAAAAACTCAGAACCAGGTATGGGGGTGAAAGCTGAAAGATCAGAGAAGCAGAACAGCCAGCCACTAGTTCTTACCTCTACAAAACCCTTGGCCTCAAGAGAGCGACTTCCTGTTTCCTCATGCCTTAAGTATCTTTCTGTGTCCTGCCATATTACTTCCTGGGATTAAAGGCACGTGTCACCACTGCCTGGTTCTGTTTCTCTCATGTAGCCCAGTGTGGCCTTGAATGCACAGAAATCCAGACAGATCTCTGCCTCCCGAGTGGTATGATTAAAGGAGTGTTTCACCACTGCCTGACCTCTTTGTCTCATTTAGTGGCTGGCTCTGTCCTCTGATTCCCAGGTAAGCTTTATATCACCATAATCATGTGCCTGGGCTGGACGCCCAAGCCACTGAAGGTGAAAGTAACTTTGCAGAATGGCTGGTTTTGTTGAGCCTCTGGGTGCTCTTCCTGGTAAGAGGGGATGAGAGAACAGAGTGAGGCAATACACACACAGGCAGAAACAGTACTGCAGAAATGCTCAGTACTGCACAGATGCTCAGTACCATAAGCCCCATCCCAGAGTCCTGATCGCAAAGTCCTGGCTCAGGAAGCAGGTTGAATTTATATCACTGATGTCATGTTAAGATTTGTTTATCCATCTATCTATCTATCTATCTATCTATCTATCTATCTATCTATCTATCTATCTATCTATCTATTATCTATTTTTTGAGACAGGGTTTCTCTGTGTTGCCTTTGCTTTCCTGGAACTTGCTCTGTAGCCCAGGCTGGCCTCTAATTCACAGAAATCCTCCTGCCTCTGCCTCCCGAGTGCTAGAAGATTTTTTTTCATTTACTATGTGTATGTATCTGTGCACATGTGTGCAGTGTCTGCAGAAGCCAGAAGAGGGTGTCGCGTCCCCTGGAGCTAGAGTTACAAGTGGTTGTTAAGTGCTGAGCACCAAACTTGAGTCCTCTGGAGGGGCAGCAAGTGCTCTTGACTGCCGGCCCATCCCCCCAGCTCCTGGTTTTTATTTCTTCAAGATAAGAATTCGCCCATGGAAGGAAGCCCAGGCCGACGTCAAACTCATGGCCATCCTCCTGTCTCAGTCTCCCCAGTGCTGGGATTTACAAGCACGAGTCGGGGATGCCTGGCTCAGAGTCTGAGTCTAGTTCAGTTGCTGAGGAAGTGACTTGCCCAACTTCTCAAAGCCTCAGTGTCCCCATTTATAAAGCCAAGAAGTAACGGCACCTGCCTCGTGGAAAAGGAGCTGAGGATTCAATGAGATGATGTGGGTGCAAAGGACTCAGACCCCCCTGGCCCCCGAGGGGGCTTGCTTCCGCCTGCGAAGCACCCAGGGGGCAGACCCTACTCTCTGGGGGTGGCACAACAGGCCCAGCAAGGGTGCTAGAGCTGTCCGAAGCCAGGTGTGGGTCCAGAGAGGGAAAGGGGACCCCAAGATCTTGCGTGAGGGGGTGCACGTTGGTTTGAGCAAACACAGAAGGTAGGGAACAGAGCATAGGACCGATGAGAGTCGGGGGCCCACCTGGAAGAGCTCGGCGTCATCCGGGCTGTACTGGCTGGGCTCTGTCTCTGAGGTCTCGGGGCACCATTGCAGCTCCCCAAAGCAGGCGGCTGAGTCAAAGTCACTGGTGTCCAGCTGGGAGAGGTCGAGCTCTGGAAAGTCAGCACACAGCTGTTCCTCCCCGGATTCCCCATCCTGAGGAGACAGGAAGGAAAGAGGTGGTCAGAGCTGAGTGTGGCCACACCCAGCCAGGAACCTGCTTGTTCACAAAGCTGGGATCGGGACTCTCTACCAAGACCCAAGTTTGCCAAATAACCAATAAATGTAAAGATCTGCCCCAATCCTTAAAACTGTTGAGCCTACTGGAAGATAAGGGGGGCCCTGCAGCACAAGGCCCCTCCACCTCGTTCCTTTCTCTTTGTACTCCTACACATCCCTCAAAACCCTGCCCACACAGGAGGTCTTTCTTCTTACCAGGACTGCTTCATTGAACACTTTATTAGCACCTCTAAACAGTTACCATTTTATAAAAGTCCCCCTCACCTGGAAGGCGATGGATGCCTCATAGCTAATGTCCTTTATTTTATTAGTCACAGAACAGAACAAGGAGATAATAATGTCTGACACTGAAGGATTCCCGAGCTCTTGGGAATCACCTAAGTCCACAGGCATGTTCTAATTATTTATAATGTCTGTAGTGTGGAAGACCACCCAGAGGATAGGTTGGAGATAAAACTGCAACACACCTTTATTACAGAGTACCACAGTCCTATCGAAAAGAATGAGGCAGGTCTATGGATCGCCTTGAAAATGTGCCAAAGAAAAACCTAAGTTACGGAACAGCCTCACACAGAAGACAATCCACATGCTTAGGGAAGGCCACCAAGCTGCAAGTTTCCCCACGCAGGATAACATCCACGTAAGCTCACAGGGAGAGGTCCACAGAGCCCCCACCCACCTGCAGCGAGGTGAGTGAGCGTGGGAGGAAGTTAGAGGAGGACTCTGGTAGCGGCACCATCCTGACCAATGGCTCTCAAAGGACCAGGGCCAGCTGCGTCCTCGTCTCCTGGGGATTTTCTTTTCTTTCTCTTTTTAAAATAACTTATTTATTTTTTATTTTATAGACACCGGTGTTTTGCCTACAGGTGTGTCTGTATGAGGGCATCGGATCCCCTGGAACAGGAGTTACAGACAGTTGTGAGCTGCCATGTGGGTGCTGGGTATTGAACCCGGGTCCTCTGGAAGAGCGGCCAGTGCTCTTAACTGCTGAGCCACCTCTCCAGTCCCATTTCTGGGGATTTTCTATCAATGCAGACCCTCGGGCCAGCCCACCTCTGCTAAATCACAAGCTGCCAACTCTCTCCTGGTACCCAAGGTCATCCATCACCAATTATGGGACTGCCCTGAAGACTCAGAAACCCTTGAGGCAGGAGGATGACACAGCAGTGGGACATCACAGATTTGAGGGAGGTAGCTGAGGCCTGGCTATCGAGAGTCTACATTTCTACTCATCAGCCATCAGCCTGATAGGGAAGGCCATTCACATGACCCTCTGAAACCTAATTGTCTCACTATAAAATGGGCACAGCACCAGTGCCTTACAGGCTCAAAAGCAATTGAGGTGGAGTTATAGTCTGGCCCAGTAAGTACTCAATAAATGTCAGCTAAGGGTAGTGACCTCAGAGAAAGACACCGGTCATAATAAAAGCAGTAGGGTTCTATGGCAGATGGGTGGGACTGGCCTTGGGGGGGGGGAGGCAAACATGACACTCAGGAGAAATAGGCTTTTCCCTGGCCTTTTCCTAATTGTTCCCACTTACTAGGCCTCATAAATTATGAATAAATGTATATAATTAGCTCAACTTGAAACAGGAAAAGGGCTTTTACCCAAATTTGGGTCAAATATCTTAATTGGCATTTTGCAAGAACCCTGCCTATATGGGCAGCATGGGAAGGAACCAGGCCTCTCTGGCCGTGGCCATCCCCGGCTGAGCCTCAGGCCAAGCAGCACTGTGCCAGCAAATGTGCTGGGGGGGTGGGGCATGTCCCTACCATCCCCGCTCTCCATCTTCTCCAACACACGTATACCCAGCAGCCCTCAGTACTGAGCTGCGGAGTTACTCAGAACCGTGGACTAGAGAATACGCAACAGCCAGGAGTGGAACAGACAAAACTGACCACTGTCCTCCCAGAGGTGGACCCCTGGGGCTGAGGAAGAGACGGTGCTAGGCAACCCACACCAAAGATAGGATTAGAGCCATCTCCTCCTATCTGTACAGAAAATTCCAGAAGTAAGCAATTCAAAAGTTATAAATCAGGCATCCTTCTGATCTGCCTGGTAAAAGCTTAAGTAGTCTGGCCCTGTCTCTGAGTCCTCCATCTGTCCAGCGTATCCATAGGGTGTATACTGCCTGCCCATTAGGGTCTCCGGAGCCATCCTCATTACCCGACAGTCTGTTGTGGCATGACGGTGCTGTCTCCAGTTACTGATTTCCACACAGCAAATGCCCCCGAAGTTCAAGAGCAGCCATGCTGCCGTGGCAAGATGCTCACGTGGAGCCATGAAGCACTTCTCATGGGGGAAAAGGCAAGCTAGCACTCTACTCAGGAAAGAGAAGAGTCCTAGGACAAGGTGGGTTAAGGTCTAAGACGCAATCTAAGAATGTGGGAAGGGGCGTGGGGGAAGAATTCCATGCTGGTTTTGCTATCGCACGCATGCACCTCAAACGTTTACAGTTAAGGTCACAGTGCAGAGTGAAGGCTTTTTTGTTTTGTTTAGAGACAGGGTTTCTCTGTATAGCTTTGCGCCTTTCCTGGATCTTGCTCTGAAGACCAGGCTGGCCTGGAACTCACAGAGATCTGCCTGTCTCTGCCTCCCGAGTGCTGGGACTAAAGGCGTGTGCCACCACCGCCCGGCAAGGTGGCAAAGGGCTTCACATTCTGTGCACATGCAAAGAAAAACAAAAGCCTACAGTATTCAGGGTCTGGTGTTATCTGTGGCTTCAGGCATCTACTTGGGACCTGGAACACGATCTTCAAGAATAAGAAGGACCACGGCATGGACTGTGATGAGGCCAGCTGGATGCTTCTGGGCCTCGCTGGGAGTCTGAAGGTGAGAGGGGACATGCTGCCTTAACCCTGAATCTCTGCGGTGAGCCAGCCACGCCAGCCACCCCAGCCACGCCAGGTCTGAATCACCCATGCTCCACAGCTGCTGCCACTAAAGGTGGGGTCTCTCCGCTATCTCTTGGCACTCCTGTGCCCTTTGTACCCGGTCTGTGGCAATGTAGATGGTGGCTTTGACTTTTATGGACGGTCAGTGGGCTTTACTTCCACATTTGGGCCATTTTACATCTGGAATAGCTGTGTGTCTAAGTCTTTCCGTGGACATACGCCTTTATTTCTCTGGGGTATATATTAGGCCTGGATTTGCTGGGTCCTCTTGGAGCACAGAAGCTGACCGTTCTAGATGGAGGGGATGAGGTGGGGGCAGGCAAGGCTTCCTAATGGAGCAGACAGAAGCCAGGTGATGGAGGAGGCAGAAGGGACATCAGACAGGGCGAAGACCTCAGTGAGGGCGAGCCTAGGACATGCTAACATGGATGGAGGCGCTGGGTGCTGAGGTCAGCAGACTGCAGCTCATTGCCTGGAGCTGTGGGAGGGTGGCAGCGGATGGAGAGGCAGGTGGCAGCCGGATCAGGTGGGATTGTAGGAGATTTGGGTTTTACTCTGAGTGTGGCAGGGGTAGGGTCAGCGCAGCAACAGTATCAGGCTGTTGGAGGCATCCAGGAGACAGGAAGCGGCAAGCTAGAAAGCCTGTAGAATAGGAAGGAGGCCCTGAAGCTGGGACAGACACTGTGAGAGATCAGGGGCCTGCTGACCAGCAGTCCGCTCTGCTGCCATGTCCTTGGTCTCCCTGACCCCGGTCACTCAGAGCGGCTACCGCCCCAGCACCCACTTTTTAGAAACAGCCTTAGAATAGAAGTTTCAGAAGCACAGTTCTGTCAGGAGCCGGCAGTCCTGAAAGGTGGCCCAGGTGAGGGAATGACCTGGGGGGTAGAAACTCCTTGCAGAACCAGATAAAAAAGACCGGAGGGTGCGGCATAGTGGTCAAGTGCCTGCTTTTTTTTTTTAAGCATGTACAAAGTTCTAGGTTCAGTCCCCAGAACTGCCAAAAGGAAAGAGAAACAACAGAAATTCTTCACACGTATGCACATACACATGTGCACACAGAATCCACACACAACTCAGAGGTCTTCACTGCCTCCTTCACTTGGCAGATGTGGAAACTGAGGCCCATGGAGGATCACGGGTCGGCTCAGGGTCATCCGGGGAGCGTCCCTCCTTGGCAACCACGCCACCTCCTTCACAAAATGCCCATCAGTGCCCATGATGGCTGCACATATTGATCCCGACAGCAGCTCAACATACTCAGGGCAGAGCCAGTGTATAAAAATAAAGAGCCGCAGCCTTGTACCCTTGTCAATTAGGCCCGAGACCACGCTCCGGCTAAAAACCATTAGGCGCTCTGCTAATGGGGCATTCTTGGCCTTCTCTACATTTAGAGGCTTTTGAAGGGGTGCCTGAGGTGACCCAGTTCCCGGGGAAAGGTCTCAGTCGGGGCTTTCTGGCCCTGTCCCGGCTACCTGCCTTCTACAAGCCCTGCCGATAGAGCCAAGAGGTCACGCAGCACAGGACTAATAGCCACTGCTATTATTGTGTGCCTACTATATGCCAAAAGCCATGCTAATGCCTCGTGTACACCTCCTCACCAGAGTCCTAGAACACCGAGGTCACCTGAGTTTCTTGCTATGGCTGCAATAACAGCATACTCCCTGTGTATGGTACTTCAACGACAGAAAAATCAGGATCCATAGGCCCGCCGGAGGCTAGCAGGCTGCCACCAGGATGCCATCTGGGCCCCTCCAAGGCTTTCAAGAGAAGGAACTGCTCTGTCTCAGTCCCCTCTCTTGGCCTTGGAGGTCGCTGGCTTCCCTGTCTGCACACATTCTCCCCTTTGATAAGGACACTAGCCCCCACCAGATCAAGGCCCACCTAACTGACCTCAATGGAGCGCCATCTTTTCTGTGAATACCTTATCTCCAAATAGCACCCAAGGTCCCCGAGAGGTGAGGCTGAGTCAAACCCGAGGCTTTCCTCTTAAAAAGCCGGTGCGACCATCTATTACTGTTGGTGAGTGTGAAAGAACACTGAAGACCATTCATTCCCACTTAGAGAGGGGAAGTGTGGCTTGGGATGGGGGTTGGGAATGGTCCAAGTCATGTGGCTGAGCAGGGACAGGCTGGGGGACAGCAGCAACACTGCGCCATGCCCCCAGCTTCCTGTGTACAACTTGTTCCCGGCATTGGCTCTCCTATAGAGCGGCTGTGCCATGCGGCCCTTCCTCCGGCAGCACCTCACCCCTCACCTGAAAGGGTAATGGCTTCCTCAAGCCAGGGATAGAAATGACCCTGGCAGAGGACTTGCAAGGCTTCACTCCAGACGCACATAAGTGGCTTCATTGGAAGCTTGTGTATCTTGTTGGAAATCGATCCCCTGCTTCAGAAAGAATGCATCCTCAGGGGAAAAAGAAAAAAAAATGTCCAGTCCAGTTTTCTAGCCTGCAATCAGCAAATCTAGCTTACTCCACAGAGCAAATCCCCAGAGTTCCTTGAGTGGAAGGGAGGAGGGGTGGCAGGTAGATGCAGGGACAGCTTATGTCTTTCAGTGGATTCTAAGAACTTGAGACTGGAGAGATTGCAGAAAGACTTGGCCCCTCTTGCCCAAATCTCTCCTACAGTTCTTGAATTTATCAAATGTCTCAGAGCCACATAAGCTTTGGGGGCAATATGTAGGCTGAACCCAGCAGGAAATGAACAAAAATCAGTAGGTGAATCTGTGAATGAACTTCCAGAGTGGAAACACAAGTATTTGTACTGAGGTGCAAAGCAGTTAGGCCAGGTGGGCAGTGGGCAGGCCCCGGCCTTACTGCTGATATCGCCTCTGAGATCAAGACAGTGATTTTCGCTTAGTTTTACAGACAAACACTGACAGTAGGAGAGCCCTACCTCCCAGGCCTCTTAAAAGGTAAGGAAGAGGGGGTTGGGGGTTGAGCTCAGTGGTAGAGCGCTTGCCTAGCAAGCCCAAGGCCATGGCTTCAGTCCTCAGCTCCAGGGGAAAAAAATGTAAGGAAGAGGGCTGCAGAGATGGCTCAGAGGTTAAGAGCACTGGCCATTGGCTGCTCTTCCTGAGGTCCTGAGTTCAATTCCCATCAACCACATGGTGGCTCACAACCATCTACAATGAGATCTAGTGCCCTCTTCTGGTATGCAGGCATACATGCAGGCAAAACACGGTATACATCATCATCATCATCATCATCATCATCATCATCATCATCATAAGTGAGGAAAATAAGCCAAGTGTCTATGCCAGGCCCTCCATGAGTGACCCCACAAATTCATATGTTGAAATCCTGGTCACCAAAGTGAAGAATGATAAAATATTAGGAGATGGGGCTCTTGGGAGGTGACTGAGTCATAGGGTAGAGCTCTTGTGAGTGAGATTAGTGTCTTTAGAATAGGAAGCCTTAGCAGTCGTTACTAATCCATTACAACTAGCCTAGTCTAGACCATGACCCCGAGTCTCTATTACTTTCTAAGAAAGGAGGAAGGGAAATACACACAAGTTATTCCCTTCTCTGACATCCTTGTTTGGTCTACCTCTCACCCGTTCCCTCCCAAGTGGGAGGAGTCCCCTGACTATCCTTGGGAACTGCTCCTCCCCTAAAGCCAAGTGGCCAAAGTAAGCATGTCTGCCCAAGTGAGCAGGATTGGATACAGGCTTTGTGTAGCATTTTGGTTAAGAAGGCTCAGCTCTTCCAGACAGGCTGGCAGCCATCTTTGCCGGCGCCTCAGAGCAGCAGCCTAGACTGCCGCAAGCTAGGGCAATGCAGAGCCAAGCCGGATAGGTGGAGGGTTCTAAGAAAATCATTTACACACTGGCGCTGTACAGTTGTGATTGTGTGCAAGTAAATAAACCCCTTCTAAATTGCATGCAAGCTGGAGTTTGTATCACTTATCAATGGCCAAGCGATGGCTAATTCATCTCCCTTACATTAAAAAAAGAATCCAATCTTCTTGTTGTCTTCCAAATTAATACAAAACTCCTAAAGCAGTCTAGGAGAACAGCAAGAAGTGGAGGCAAGCTTTACCTCCCCCTCCCCCAATCACTTACAGCATCATCAGAAATAACATACACACAAAGCACAAATGCAAGGAAGAATAAATAGATAAAACTGAGGTCCCCTAAGCCCAGCCTGAAAAGTACCGAACTGCCTGAAATCAGAGATCCTTGGAAGGACCTTCCCCTCAACACTCAAGGCTAGACCCTTGGGCCAGGCAACCATGGAAGTATCTGGCCTTGGGCCAGCTGAACACAACATGATGCTCAGCCCCAAGCCCTAGCCAAGCAAGTGGTGAGGGACCCTAACAGAAGGACTCCAGGTCTGGTAAGAATGGACCCTCCCACTGAGAAAGCAACCCAGGGTCCAGAACTCATACCCCTGTCAGCTGCGAAGGAGCCAAGGTAGCAGTGTGCTTGGGACAACGGCTCTGCCCCAGGGTCAGGGCATCAGAACAACAACCTTTGTGTCGTGGCCTAGCTCTACTCAGAACTTCTTACCAGGCTAGTCTTGCCATTGGTTGTAGGCAAACCTAACCTATCAGGCCTTTGCTCCCCTGATCTGCAGTCTCCAGCTGGCCGGCCAACCAGGTTAGCTGGTAGGCCCCCATCCCGCATACCCTCATCGCTTACCTACCTGCTTTCTAGAGCCGGTGATCTGCCCGGCTCTGCTTCCTCCCGACTCCTTTGTTACCACCAATTTTAAATAGTTTTTAACTAGAAGATGTGAGTAGATAAGAAGAGAGCTCTGTGAAAAACTAAGGTATGGGCTGTGGAAGGGTCCAAGACGCTTGAGTTACTAAAACAGACGAACAAAAAAAATCTGCTGTCAAGTTTCATGTGGATGAGATCAGAATCAAAGATGAGACACTGACGAGGAAGGAGATCCGGATCGGAGATGAGGAGACAGTGACGAGGCCTCGGAAAGCATCTAAGATCCAACTGTGTGGCTCCCCCAGCAGGACATGGGGGGCTCCAGCCCTGGGGTCGGAATGATGCTGGAATTACTGGGACTCTCAGTTCCATAGTCCTCTAGCCAAAGAGGCAAGACCAAGGCATAGAAAACGTTGCTTTGTTAAGAGGATAGATGCGGCATTCATTCCATGACTCGGTGCTCTGACCTTTTCCTAGGAATTCCCATCCCCCACACAGCCCCCCTCTCTGCCATCAGATAAGCTGTGACTGCTGAACACCTACCTAGTCTACCTTTACCACACCAGAAACAGCCTTGTATCTGTTGGGGGGGGGGCACCATAAGAAGTAGGGTGCAAGAATGGTCCCTTGCCGCACTTTCCCCAACGATTCTCACATCTTGCAGGTGAAGAAATCCGAGGCTCACAGAAAAGGGAACAGGGGAAGGATACCCAAGATCCACCCAGCCAGCTCCTAGCCAGAGCATACAACTAGGATCTCCCTGCATAAGCTCTTTTCAAAATGACAGGTCGCTTCCTCCACAGCTGTGGTCCACGTACCCGAATTCTGGGTAAGATTCCCGCCTGCCATGAAAAGGGGCGGGAAAGAGAACAGAGGTCCGCAGGGCAGGTGATATCTTGCTTAGACATCCCTTCCCCCGACTCCCTGTGGCCTCCAAGCAGTCCCTTTATCTCTCTGAGATCTGTAAGCTCGGGTTGCTGGGCAGGGTGGGATTACCTGGGTGTTGGGAGCTCTTGCAGGACCTGGTTGCAGGCCTTTGGAGTCCAGTCTCCCCTTGTCTGGCACCTCGGACTGGGGGGGGGGGGGGGCAGGTACTCTCTTCTCTACCCATGGCAGCATGGATACTGGATGATGACATTAGGGCCTCTCAGCAGGCACACTGACGCCCAGGCCCAGGAAGGCACTGTTTGTTTTTAAACAATAAAAGCTTAGTGTATGTTGTGACTTGGGCTATGCACTTGGTGTTTGCCTGGCCTTGCCGCTGATTGTATGCACTTGAACTCAAGGGCCTCTTGAATTCCCACAAGAGTGGCAGGAAAGACACTCACTTACTCAACTGCCCAGCGATGCCTGCATGAACATCCAGAGGCAGAGCTAGCCCTGGACTGCGTCTTCTTATTCACAGGCAGCCATTGTGCCTCTGGGCATCTCCAGAGTCCCTGCTGCATGCATGTGGGCATGTGGGCTGCCACCTGGGGGCCTTCGGCACTGGCACCCCTCACCTGCCAGTGTCTGCTTCCCTCATGGTCTCCAACCCACGGCCACTTGTCCAGGCCACCCCGACTCTAGCTTTTCCAGCCCCCCCCCCCAGATTCTCTCAATAAGCACTTCACTTCCCAGAATAATTTTCACTACTTTCAAGCATACAATTTAGTGGCATTAACTACCTCCACACTGTTGTGCGACCATCACCACCACCCACTTCCTGAACTTTCTCCTGTTTTTTTTTTTTTTTTTTTTTTTTTTTTTTTTTTTTTTTTTGTATACAGCATGTATGACTGCAGGCCAGAAGAGGGCACCAGATCTCATTACAGATGGTTGTGAGCCACCATGTGGGTGCTGGGAATTGAACTCAGGACCTCTGGAAGAGTAGTCAGTGCTCTTAACCTCTGAGCCATCTCTCCAGCCCTTTCTCCTGTTTTAAATGTATCTGTTCCTTCACTAGGAATTCTCGGGCAGCAGCCGGGCCCCGCCCCCAGCGCACAGCATTGTGTCTGGCATGCAGTAGGTGCTCAGCGAAGGTGGTGTGGGTGTGCAATAAACAGGGCAAGTGCTTTCTGAACTGTGAAGGGCAGTGAGCAAGAGTCAAAGGGCATGCGTGATTCTTTTTCCCCCAGACAACTCCCAAACAAAGCTCGATGGCTTTTACAGCCTCAGTTAATCACATGATAATTCCACGTCTGTCGAACCCTGTCGGGGGACAAAACGACCCCCTGTTCCTTTTCTCTCCTGGTTCTAGGCCCCTTTTGCGAGGTCAAGAATTAAGCTATGCGATCGCACAAGCCAGCTGACATCAACACTTACCATTTCGGCACCATCCCCTCGGCCCAACGCGACATCTATCAGCGGCTGAAGGGCAGGCCCAAAAATAAACCACTCGGATCAAATGCCACTTGGAGCGGCTCTGCTGATACTCGCGTGGCTAAAAGGCCGTGCGAGGCTCGGTGATGGGGTGAGGGGGTGGGGATCTGTCACAGTAATGTGCAGGAACTGGAAGGCAGAACCATAGCTGAGAAGAGGGTCACTTAGGCATCAAAAAGCCAGGCAGCCAAGGCCATCTTATTCTAAAAGCCACATTCAAGAAGGGGCAGGGAGAAGTGGAGACAGAAGAGCCACCCATGACTAACAAACCACCAGAACTCTAAAGGTGGGGTGGACCGTACTGAGTTATCCTTTGGCCGCAGGCTCTGGTACAACCACCCGGGCACTCCCAGGTTCCTGCCTTTATTTTTAAAATTGGTACCTTTATACAGATTATTATTGTTTTGAACAATGAATTGAAATCCAATTTCTTCTGATGGCCGAATTATTTGCACAGGAGCCAAGGGCCTTCCTGGCGGAATGGAGTGAAGGAATTGCTCCGTGTGTAGGAGACGAAGATGGAATTATGCCCTCAGCCATGTCGTTCGCTGAGCCTTGGAATCTCCACCCCTACCTCTCTGCAACGGGACCGCTAGGCCTTCCTGGGCTCTGGCCTTGTCCTAGCCTGTTTGGCGAAGTATTTTGGGTGGGAAAGTGTTCGGGAAAACTATGAAATGCTTTCCGTAGGAAAGGTTGTTAAATTCTTCTCCAGCCACCAAGGACTAGCATGGGTGTAAGCACCGTTCCGTTGGGGGCTTGAGTTTTTCCTGAGACAGGTTCTCAATGTATACCCAGATTGGACTCAGACTCTTGGTCTCCAGCCTCCTAGCCTCTTGAAGACTAGCATTAGAAATATACACCATTTCGGAGATGGAGACTGGGGCGAATGCACAGCATGGGGACGCCACTTTTTGCATACATGAGTGTACATTTTGTATACTATAGTGTTGTGTTTTGGTACAGTAAGAGCAAAATGAATGTTTCAAAGTTCCAGAGACCTAAAAAGACTAAGCGGGGGGGAGGGGAAAGCCACACACCCCATTTAAAGGCTCCTTGGAGTCCTGGAAGTCCATTTTCTCTGGTTCTGTTCACGCTGTCTCCTGCCCCAGCTGGCAGCAGAGACGGCAGCGCCCGGCCAGAGCTCATCTGCAAAGCCCTTTGCCTGTTAGCACTGTTATAAATAACCAGAAAGGGGTTCTGGCAGGAGAGTGAAGGTCAGGCAGCCCCATGCAGCATCTGAGGAAATGTCATACTCCACAAGCCAGCAAGGGGCACGCTCACATCTTCAGCCCACCTGCCCAGGTGGAATGAGGAGGCCTTGCTGCCACCTGCCCAGTACGAACAGCCCTGAGGTGGCCGGCTCCTTGGGGCTCTGAGCTGGGACTGGACCCTTGAGGAGTCCCCCTTTCCTGGCAGGCTGGGGCCCCGGCAGGCTGAGCCAGCCAGGTCCTTACACCAGCCCAGGCTTCTTGGCTAGCCGCCCTCCACTCGACCCACCCAGGGAGCATGACTCAGTAGTGCTCAGCCCACCAGTGGCCCTGCTGCCTGCCACACAGTGTGGGAGCTGGAGGGCCGCATGGCCCATCTGGTCCCATGGTTCCCAAGCTGGGCTCCCTGGGGGAACCTCCAGACTGTTCTTTTCCTCCCCCACAGCCCCAGTAAGGCACTGGGCTTTGAAGAGAGAGGAATTCCGAGGGAGTTAATTAGATTTTCCATTTTTATTAGACAAGAGCCGTACAGTAGCAAGGCATCTCACTATTTAACCTTAGTGAATTCAACACAAGATGCCTGGCTCCAAAATAAAATAAAATAGCCATGTTTCTAGTTTCTAGATTTGAAAAAATGAGGTACACATTTTGCATTTGGAGTATGACTGCACATATACACATACACACACTACCCACAAGCACACTTGGATGGCGACTTAAAGGCTTTAGGAGGCTCATTGGACCCAGACAGCAGACGAAACAACCACTCCTGAAGGATTCTCTCCATCACTGGGTCTGAGTGGCCCCTGGGAGCCTAGTCAAGTGGGTATTCTCCATTTGAGAACAGAGAATCTGAGGCTTGAGGGGAATGTGGTTTTGCTGAGCAGGAATGTGAGTCTAGACCTCAGCCTGAATTCTGTGTTGCCCTAATAGGGCTGACCCACCCTGTGACTGACAAAGCAGAGAAAGGCCTCCTTGACTCTGGGCTACTGGACTCTGAAGCTCTGGCAAAGGGGCATGATCTCAATGTCCATTGACTCCTTTTCGACTTTCTGATTCAGAACCCAGGCAACACCTTGCAGAAGTACCCAGAGCAGGGAGTTCAGGACCCGCCAGCACTCCAGCAAGCCAGGATGGGCACACAATGTGGCTGAAAACCTGACCCTGGACCACAGCTTCACAGGATTTCCAACCTAGCTTGTCCAGGAGCCCTCTCTTGCCCACCTCTTCCCTAACTTCAGAACAGAGGTCTTCCTTCCCCCAGAACACAGCTCTTGAAGTTTGGACTTGTGACCTCTGCCATGTCCCAGCCACTGTCCTACCATTCAAATCAGGCAGATCCCTGACACCCCACGTTACACATTCTCTGAGGCTTATTTATAACACTGTACTTTGGCCACAGCACCAACCCAGGGCCTGGTTGCCTCTACTGTGCAGGAACATGGGCCCGGCTGCATCTTCTCTGGGCCGATTCTCAGCATCCAGAGATGCTCAACCTTTGTGGGAACTGTGGGAGGAGAGCTGAGGGAAGAGCCCCCCTCCTCTGGCCAGTTTTGGTAACTGCCTCACATTCCTATGACACCCATCAGCTCCTTCACACTCTTCCCCCTTGGAAGGGGGCTTCTGTATCCATTTATTCCCTATGGAAACTTCTTTCCTTTTCAGTGGGTCAGATGAGAAATCCAGACGCTCAGACTCCCAGATAAAGCTGGTGGGAAAAAGAGATTCTCTTTGGTCCCATAGGCTTTCCTTGGTCATGTGGTTAGGGAGAGCCAGAGGCCAGGCGGGCTGCTCTGCCGGGGAGGCCCCGCAGGCACCACTGATGATGATGGGTTTTCAGTCACAGGGAGGTCTGCCTTCTGCAGAACGGCCAGGGGGAAGAGCTGGACAGACCAAGAGATCTGCCACTCAATCATAAGTACCCACTGACTTCTTAAGAAGCAGCTGACCCAGGGTAGGAGTGGCATTGCCCACAGAGGTATTCAAAGGGGGCACACAATGTCCAGGGGTCACTCAAGCCCGAAAAAGGAGGCTGGCAGCCCTCGCCCACACTACATAACACTGAGAGCAAACCCCTTCTCTCTCCTTGCCAGGACTTGGGATCACAGAGCTTGTAAGAATTCTTTAGTTCTAAAGCGGACGTTCTTCCCTCTGCTCTTCCCAACAAGGCAGAAGTTAAGCCATGTTTCCAATAGTGATGCTGAGGTGCCAGGAGAGGAAGTGCCAGCTATAAAGCTACCTAGCAAGTCAAAGAAAGGAAGAGGACTCTAGCCTCTGGACCTCCAGCTCCTAGCTGAAGCAGTAACAGAGAACACCACCAAGTCTGAAGCCTGGAAACACATTTTCTGGGCAGTGGCATGGACCTTGGACTGGTTATTTCTCTGAGCCTGTTTCCCATATCCCACCACTGGCTAGCCTCAGAGCCCAGGAGAAGTCACCGGGGCCTTGGTACATGCAGAGTCACCAAGAGATACCCTGGGCACAACAGAAAGCCACAGAAGCCCCATAAGCAGCTCCTCGTGAGGAGGAGGAAGACATGAAGGGCATGAGTACCGGAGGACCAAGTGTATGGGGTGAATCATGAGTAACGGTAAGAGATCCCAGAAGCAACATCCTCACCTGGAACACCCACCTTCCATGCTGATCTAGACCTCAGGCCTCAGACCCCGCGTTTAATAAGCTCCCCTGGAGATACACATACACGCACATTCAAGTTTGGGAAGCAAGAGTATTAAACTCGGGATTGAGACCCTAGCCCGTGACAGAGTGCAACCTCTAAATTCTCCCGGCTGGCAATCTCCATCTAGTGATAATGGATAATGTGGAGTACCATTCTAGGTACTACTGCCCGAGGTTTGGTGAAACCACAGAGGCCAACCACCGCACCAGGAGCCTGGCAGGTAACAGCTGTTCCAACCGTTAGTTTTCTTTTCCTTGGGGGGTGGGGGTTGCGGCGGCGTGGAAGGAAGTCGGCTTCTGCTTCATTTCCAAGTCCTGCCTGCACATCTGGGAGGCGAGGCTGAGACCCCATGGGCAGCAACAGATGGGGACAGGGTGGGAGCAGAGAGGGAAGAGGACAGGAAGTCCACAAGAAAAAAAGAGCAGCAAAGACCATCCAATCCCCAGAGACGCCGCAGCTGCTCAGCTCCCCTGCTAAAGCAGGCGTGGCCCAGAAGCCAGCAGGCCTGAGCAAGGATCCAGAACCACCAGGCTGTGTCCCCTCAGGCCATACCCGACAATGCCTTTCTTTCTAGGCTCGGCTCTGAACCGGTTCTTGTGGCTAGGGCAGACACAACAGGGTCAGTAGAGCGACCAGACTGACGCCCAGGCTGTGGACCACGCCCCTGAGCAGGGTCAAAACATATCTAGGCTGTCCAATGGGAGAAGAGGTCCTGCACTGTGTAATTCTGGCCAAGTGATTTAGTCTCTCTTATGTTCCAGATAACGGAGCATCAGCAGTCCCGTGTGGCGCCCTCCGATTCTTGGGAGGATTTAATGAGAAGACAATGGCTGGGCTGGAGGGATAGACAAGACGGACAGATGGTAAGAATGTGTACTGCTCTTGCAGAGGACCAGAGGACTTGGGTCTCAACTGTTAGCATTAGGCATCTGTACTGGCCTGCCCTTAGGGGTCCTGACAGGATATATCCTCAGCTGCAGCCACTAAGAGCACCACCTCACTATATGCATCCGATACATTTCCTTATAAAAGGCGGGCCTTGCCCACCTCCTATCTCTTTTCCTTCACTTTCATTCCCAGGGGACCGGTCCTTGCTCCTTCTCTCCCCTCCCCTCAATAAACCTCCCACGTGGGCCCTGTTGTATGGCGTGACTCCTTCCCGCTGTTTTTAAAATAACAACAACCACCTGTAACTCCAGCTCTACGAGGCCCAACATCTTTGGCCTCTGTGGGCCTGTACTCACGGGCACATACTCACACACAAACAATAATTCAATTCTTTTAAAGCTTTGGGGAAACAAACAAACAAACAAACCCGGCAATGGTCATTAGGGAGATGGCAACATGGTCCTGCAGAACCTCTGGAACAGCTGCAGCTACGGCTGATGGAGGAGGGCTCTGCAGTGTGCCCACCACACAGGCACGGTGGTGACCTTCGGTTCCGAGGCTGGCCCGGTCAGAGTAACCATGGCCTCTCGCCTCCACTTGGGCTCCTTCCAGCCGATGAAGGCAATTCCAGGCTGCTGGGTAAAGCAGCTGCGGCCATCACCTTAAGAGGCAGATCTGAGACCACCTAATCCCCCCAGGGCCCTCTCGGGGGAAAACCAAACCCTCTCTTTGTCTGTAGACCTTGGAGGGTCTGGCTCCTGGATTCCTTTCCTGGGTCATTCTGCTGGAGTATTCCTCTCACTCAGATCTCGGCCTTGGCCAACTGTTTTCTGTCCCTGACACACCTCAGGATCTCTCCTCACACTCCGTCCTCTCTCCATGGAATACAATTCCAACATGGACATTTTACCCAAGGTAATTCCTATCCACCTATCACTCTTTCCTTCCTTAGGGAAGCTTTCCTCAGACCTACAGACAACACTGGAAGCCCAACTGTGCTGGGCACGCCTTTAATCCCAGCACTTGGAATTAAATCCCAGACAGGGATTTAATTTAATCTCTGTGAGTTTGAGGCC